CATATATACCACTAAATAATTTTTTTTTAAAAATTAGAAGTAACAAATATAAATTTAAAATTAATTTTTTAATTTCCGTTAAATGAAGGGTATATGTGAGCCATTTTGTAACGGTAGGGGTATGTGTGAGTCGTTTATATAACGGTAAGGACATATATGAGCCACTTTTATAACGAGGGGTATATCAGCTCTAAATGACAAAGTTAAAGGGTATATAAGACCCTTTTCCCTTTATTTATTAGGGAGATTTAAGTGTTTTAGATAACAAATTTACATTATTTTAATTTTTGAATTTTGTATTTAAATTATAGTATGTTTAGAATCAACCAAAAAATTAAATAAATAAATAAATATATATATTATCATTATGTATATATAGATATCGCTAAAGGCTAAACATTAACTCAACAACCCCAATATTTTTGGCCCTTTTTCATAAAAGAGAAATTTAATAAAAAACACACTTTCTTTAATTTTATTTGTTTGTTTTATTTTAACTTGATAAAAATATTAAATAGTCAAAAATATTATTTCATTAAAATTAAAAATATATTAATAAAATATTTTTTAATTTAATGATCTTTAATATATTACGTGTAAAAAATAAAAATAAAAAATCACTTATCTAAAACAATTTTAATAAATATAGATCAAACAAATTTCGAAGAGACAACAAGTAGTGGTAGTCAAGTAGCAAATAATCAAAACTTGAATTAAAAAAAATGAATAACCGTGCAAAAAAGTAAAATAAAAATTGTCAAAAGCTGAAATTATTTTATTTTCGTGCTTTTGTCATCATTAATATTTGTCGTGATCTTCTATGAGAATCAAACTTTAGATCTATTATTGTGAAAAAAAAATATCTTATTGATATTACAATATTAATTAAAACTTTAGGGTAAATAATTGATGTGTATATATAAAGCTCATAACTGATATTATCCATTCAAATCAAATAAAATCAAAAAAATCTATGGCAACTGCTTTATTTATCCAAGATATCAAGAACAAATTTCTAGATCTAATTAAATTCCTTATTTCATTTGGTAAAGGTATTTATTTTCTTCTTCTTTTTTAATCTTTAGTAAAGAAATAGAAAATCTTTTATCTTAAAGGAGTTTATTTTTGTAAAACTTTGATCATGATATTATTTCCAGGAAATGATGGGAATGAAAATTTAAACATTGAAAATGAGAAGGTAATTTTAATTTTTTCTTGTTAATTTTTTTTTCAATATTAGCAATTGAAATCTTTGTAGTATTTAATATTTTGTTTTGTTTTTCTCCTTTCATTGAATTCCTTAACACTTTATTTACTTCTACTTCAATCTTTTTGCTTGTGAGTGGAAAATATATTTATATTGAAAGTTAATAATGAATTAGCATATAAGAAGGTATTAAGATTAAAATTTTTAGTATTGACAATTAATTTCAGAAATTTTTAGTGATTTAGGAATTAAGTACTTAGATATATTTTAATTTGTAATATTATATATTTTATCAGATTTTGGTGCGATCAAATATGAAATATTCATATCTCAGAATATACGAAATCGAAATTGTTCTAGATAATTGCATTCGGTGGATTCACATTTATCTTAATTAGATGCATAACAAATCTCACTCACCTGTCAGCTTCTCTCTCATCTCGTAGCTGCTCTCCTATATACCCAGATATCGAATCACACCTAGATATATAATTTGCGTATTTAGTGTTATTCATATGTATCTGAGATATATAGCAACATCTTGCTTACCTCTCTTTCTATTTTAGTATATATAGTAACAAAAATACATGTATATTGTATTTAAGTGTAGTATTTTTAATTTATGATAGAAAACTCTTAATTAGTAATAAAATACATAACATTTTAATACTATAATTATAATAATAATATATGATAATTAAGAATATTTTATTATATAGTTTTATCTCCTTTAAAATATAATTATGATATTTGATAAAACATAGGGGTATTTTCTTAAATTATGACTTCTGTTCTATCAGTTTTATTTTCATTTTGGATCATTCAAGGAGATACTTTTTGTGTTTATTTTTTCGTATTTATCAGTAAAGAATAATTTTAATTATTTCAAATTAATTACAGGGAATAAATGAAGAAGAAAAAGGAGCTTTTATAATGTCAACAATAGCAAGACGTTCAACACGTCCAGGAAAACGTAAACCTCCTCGTTTTCAGACTGGAAATAATATTTCTTAGCTGTAAAAATAATAATTAAATTTGTAGATTTTGAAAATATTTCAATTTTTATGGTTTTTTAAATGTAATTTGACGAGTAAAGTTTATTTTAGTGGTGAAACACCTCTACTATCAATTAATAAATTAAAGGTTCAGGTTACAACTTTTTAATTTTCTATTGAACTCTACTCAGTAGAGGTACTCGATTAAATTGGAATAATAATCGATTTTTAGGTTTCATCGTAAGTCTTTATGTAAATCAATAATTCAAATCGCCCCAAAGGTAGAACAATTTTCCATTTTGATAATTCTAGACCTATAGAATGCAAAATATATTTTTTCTCACTATATTCGATGCAAAATATATTTTTTCTCACTATATTCATAGTGTATGATATAAATATGTTCCTCATTTCGAAGGCAGCCTGAGTAAGGGATTTTATCATAATTTTTATATTCATAATTTTACTTTTATTTTTTTTTCTGTCTTATTTTTTAAGATTACAAATTTCAAAAGATTTTTCTAATTTTGGAAGCTTTTATCTAACAAATAAGATGAATCAATATATATGATCAAGTGAGAAATTAAGTACCTGATTTTGTTTTTTTTTAAACCCCAACTATTTTAGATTATTATTTTTCAAGTGTTGGTTACATCATTATAATCTAGAGGTTTCGAGTTCGAGCTCTTTTGGTTATGAAGTCGTCTTTGTTAGGAAGTGCTTTATTCTCCTCTCCAACACAAATCCAAATTTAATGAGACTCTAATATAGATATCAGACACAAAATTAAAAAAAAATCCACTTAAATAAAGTCAAGTTTTTTTACTTATTTTTAGTTTCAATGGATATATACCACTATATTCTAACTTAGCCGAGCTACCCAGAATTATATTTTTTTTAAAAAAAAACTTGATCCTTAACATTAAATTATTGTGGAAAATTAAGAAGCATATAATTGATCAAAATTTTAAAAAAAATTAATAAAAGATATATTAAATAAATCACCTCTTGATTATTTTTTCTTTAAAGATTACACAACCACACCACAAAAATTAGAAATAAATATTTAAAGGAAGAGACTAGTATGAAGTGAGTACAATAGTAGTGTTTGACCAAAAAAATAAAAGAAATCAATAATGCATTTGCTCTTTGAAGGAGTCAAAACTGTCATTCCTGTTTTTAAATAAATTAATATCAATTTTGAGCCAGAAATAAATTAATATCAATTTTAAATGATAATAGCATATTTATTGTGATTACTAAATGATAATAGCATACTTATTGTGATGCTCGCTGAATATAAGTAATTTATCTAAATAGAAAGAGTAAGGTCAAATCCTAGCGTCTCAACCATACCATTATTCTTATTTTTCGTCTGCAAATTGCACTCTCTCCCTCTTTTTCTCGGTTCATAGGTTTGTATCTCATCGATATCTATTTTAAAAGAAAGACGTATTAAAAATATAATTAAAAAAATATAAGTGTATTTTAATTTTTATTTAACAAACATTTACTCCAGCACTTTCATTATTTATGTATTCTATTTTATAAACCTAATTAGAAAACTCAACCTCTTCCCCGCAATATATAAAAGAAAATAAGAACATGTTGAATAATGCACTTCCATATAACGAGGAATAACTTTTGCAAGATCTATATTAGAAAAAAGTATTAGTAATGCAACAATAATATAAAAGTTTTGTCTAAAAATAATAATAATATAGAAGTTACTAAAATAAAACATATATATATATAAATGAACCTTATTATTATGTACTAATACATCAAAATAGGAAATGTGAGACTTGTAACCGCTACAATGAAAGGTTTCAAAATCTAAACATGTTAGCTAGCTAGTAAATTTTGATCTTTATAATTCATTAACTTATTTGTATATTCACTTTTTATATATATATATATATATATTGAATTTTTCTTAGTGAAAATTTCTGGTTACGTCCTTGACTACTTTGTTAGCTATTAAATTGATCTCTATATCCAAATAGCATTAGCCTTTAGAAGCAATTTTTTAAGCTTGCCTCTAACATTAAGACTTATAATCTCATTTGAACCACCAACAAACTCTTCTCCAATAAACACTGCTGGCACACTTGATTTACACCCTAGTAATTCAATCAATGCCTTCTCCATTTCCTTCCCATTTGAAAGTTTATCGAGCTCGTAAACCATAGGGTTTGCTCCAAAACCTCGAATTAGGGTTTCGATGCTGTGAGAGATGCAACAAGTGCTCTTGCTAAGAATCACCACTGGACTCTCTGATCCCAACTTCATCACCATATCCATGATAACTTAGACCTTGATTAAAATTTTTTATATGGTTTTACTATAAGCTATATGTATATAGAAAGTTAGTGTGTGTGAATATGTTTTAAGTGAAAAAATAAAAAGAAGTTTTGTAGCTTGTAGTGAGTTTGAGACTTTAAATTTGTTATGAGGAACATGAAGTTGTAGAAGGGTATATATAAGGTTTAATATATATATTAAATTGATGAAAAAAGGACAAAATAATAAAGGATTGCAAAAAGGAGAAGACGGTGGATATGCAAATTATATATTCCTTGAGCATATATGTCAAGGGAATATCGTAGATCGTACCCTATAATATAAAGTAAATCGAGGTGTGTTTGTTTTAGATGAGATGATCATACAAATTAGTGTAAATTATATAAATCTCATAGTTTTAAGAAAAAATTATATGAATTGGTACATTTTAATAAATAATTATTGATTTTAGCGATATTTTTTTATTTATTATTAGTTATAACAATACTATGTTAAATCTGTAAATATGTATTAAAAATGAATTATGTATGTAATATATATGAATTATAATTGTTTTTTGAAATATATTATGTTTGTTTGGTAAAAAATTGACACATTGTATTATAAGTGTATTAAAATGTGTTATAAACGTATTATCCATCATTAAAATTCGTATTATATGTGAATAATAAATTATTTTTTATAATATATATTAAATTTGTATTATAAATAACTAAAAAAATGATCAACTTAAAAAAATTATTACTATAAATAATAAATATATTTTTTTTATTACAGTATATTAATGTAAGTTTGTGTTATTATGATGTTAGAGCAAAGAGATACATACATGTGATTCAAGTGGCATAACCACCTATTTGAAGAGACTTTTCACGTATATTTAATTTTATCTAAAAAATATAATTAGGTTCACACATAAAAAATAATCATATTTGAAGAAAAAATTTAAAAACATTATGATTGGATTACAAAAAAATAGATATAACGGAAATGAACACACTTGTAAGTATTATACAAAGATTCTTTAATTTTTTGGTCTTAAAATCGAATATTATTGTATTATTCTTTTTCAATCCTATAGAATATATAGGCATTTTAATTTTGATATGGGAAAATAGAAGCAGAGATATCGATGATCGTGCCGAAAGGTAGGACGATAAGAACGATTGATAAGCGAGATCTCGAGTAAGCGATTACATAATTTTTTTTTGTCCAAAGAAATGATTCATCGAAATAATGAGTCATCATTGATATCAACACATCTGAGATCGCCAAATGCTTGGGAGTTCCTCTTTCAATCCTTTTCCTTCTTTCTTGTTGTTGAATATTTCGTTCGTACACATCTTCTCTTTGTTTTCCGGACCTCTAGTGAGTTACATACAAACATAGTTCAAAAACGAATCCCACATTTAAAAAAACCTAATGAAAAGTGAAAGAGTTTTTAATAAATATAACATAAAATTACTTCGATAATAACGTAAATCATAAAACTTATTGAGCTAAAGCGAATAATACATGACATGAAATTGAATTACGAACAATATCCTAAAATAAAATATACTTTTGCATGAAGTCCATAATATTATACGTACTAGTGAATAGGTATCTAGATAACTTTCCATCTTTATAATTGACTTTGCTTTAGTTATTAGCTGTATATAATTGGAATAAATTCTTATCAAATATTCCAAACATTAAATCACATGATCGATTTCCTTATCGTAAAAGTGAAATTAATTTGGTCCTTGAGCTAGGGAAATAAAAAGGGTCGATTGCAACTTCGAAAGGCCATATATTATGTTGTTGATACACAATTATCTTTTTTCTACATGTTTTATATTGGTCGAAGGGTTTGAACTGTAATTATCTGTTGATCAATCTACCTTGCCCCTCCTTTTGTTGTTCATAAAGTGTTAAAAGGCAAATAAATGGGTAACTTAGGAATTTTCACTAGTCTAAACGCTAATTATTTAAATATAGGCTAATTTACAATATTACGAATTTTATCAAATTTTTGTGCTTTCAAATATATATAAATCCAGATACAATTTTGCAAACTGTTCTACTTACTGTTAAAATGGGCTTATTATGTATGGGCTAGGTTCATTTAGGCTTACTTGATGGGTCTTTACTTTGACCCATTATTACTACTAGAATATTACTCTCTCCGTCCGGTATTATTTGTCATAATTTTTATTTTTACCGTTAAACTTATAAAAATTTTGATTAACATTTTAAGATGTATTTTTTAATCATATTAATATGCAAAATATTGTAATTTATAGTACTTTACATATAGTTTTAGAATAACTAATTTTTTTGTTTAAAATATCGAATTAATGTGATGATCCAATTACCTTTCAAAATTAGTCAAATTGACTTTCGATAAGCACAACATGACAAATAATTCCATACGGAGAGAGTATTATTTTTCTACCGAAATTTCTCACCGAAAAATATTTAATAACAATTTTGGCGAATATTTTGGTTGAATATATGAGAAAGAAAATATAGTGATTTTTAATTAAAAAAAATTAAGAAAATTCCTACTATTTCAGTGAGAAATTTGATTTCTGCCATTCATTTTTTTCAGTGAGTTTGTTTGATAAAAAATGAGTTGAAAAAATCACGTCCTCTATAGCACAAATTTCCTATTAATTAGTTTGCTATGATTTTTAGTAACTTGCTCCATCGTAATTGATTTATTTATTTTCATCCATTATTTCTTTGAAAAATTCTTCAAATATCGCTTGTCAGAGGTATGAGGTTCGAGAAAAAGGTAAAGTTGGGTCGGAGATTCTATCACACCTTCTACATAACACTATTATTAAGCGAAATTTTTTACTTTATCACTTTATCTAGCACAAAAGAATTCATATTCATCTACTAATATTCTTTGTACATGGTTGAAATTCCACTAAAATTTAGGTGAGACACGATCATAATTAGTCTATTTTTAGATAGGGACATAATTCAGATCTATGTAACATCTTTTTTGATAAAAATTTGATGCTACTTTATAAGAAATATTTTTGTGCATATTAAAGTTTAACGAGATCGATTCCTAGCGTCCTTGTATGCCTTTATTTTATGCTCCAAAAATAAACAGTTAAGTACCAAAAGGGACTGCCATTGATATAATCGGAGACAGAATTATTAGTAGGGATATATATGGTCGCGTTGATTCAGGTTTTTAAATATTGAGTTAAATTATTTGCGTCGGATTTTTGAATTTATAAACCAAATCAAATCAATAAAATTCAGATTTTCAACTTCGGATTTTGTCGGATTTTTCAGGTTTTTCTGAATTTTTGGTTTTTTCGATAAAGTATTCATACAAACATATAGTTTACTTGTACTTCAAATGTTTCTTTAGTCCTAACAAAATGCAACTATCTAAGTTATTTCTCAAGAAAATAACAAAAAAAATATGACATGATTAATGACACTAAAATATCCATCAAAAGATTATAATAAAATAGCGTAAAACAAATATTGCAAATTAATAAGTCAACGAAATTGATTATAATTTAAAGTACTAAATCATGCTAAAATAAGTTTAGTAAGTATGAGTTACATGACTAAATATTAAAAGAAAGTAAAATTAGATCATGTATTTTAATTGTCTAAATCTATGTAAAACTAAAAAATAAATATTCAATATTATTGTCATTCTTAGTGTTGAATTGATTTTCTTTTGGAAAAATTGTATATAATGACAAACTAGCTAATAAATCAAATTAATTGCTATAACCACCCTTTGATTTAATGTGTCTTGTAACAAACTGTTTGTCAGTCACCTCTCCCCCTCAAACTCTCGCTCGCCACTCTCCTCTCTCGCTCCAGCTCTCGCTCACTTCCTCTCACTTTTATACAAACACAAGTGTATAAAATTTTGTTTCTATTTGTATAAAGCATAGGAAATTGTATAAATACATATATTTTTGTTCCCCTCTTCCAGATCTCGCTACCACTCTCCCTAATCTCGCTCACCACCCTCGTCTCTCTCGCTTATACAAAAAAAAGCGAAATGTATAAATTGCATTTCTGTTTGTATAAAGCTAGAGAAAATTGTATATACACATGCAAATACATATATTTTTGTCCTATACACTTATAATTATACAATAAAAATACTCCCTTGTCCAGTTTCTTTTGCCTTTTCCTCTTTCTCATTTTATACAAATTCATATTGTATATAATTTCTCTCCTTCTCGTTTTATACAATTCGATTCAATTGTATATTCCCCGTCCAAGTCTCTTTGCCTTTCACTCTTTCTCATTTTATACAAATTCAAATTGTATATAATCGTTCTATACACTTTTATTTATACAATTCGTTTTATAAACTTTGTTTTAATATAATTCTCTGTCCAAGTTTCTTTTCTCTTTCTCGTTTTATACACTTTTATACAATTCGCTTCAATTGTACATGTATAGCGAATTATACATTTATATGTTTGCTATGGAGTGCAATTATGCAAACTTTGCTATAGCATACAAATTATTATGTTTGCTATATGTGAAAGTTGCATTTTCTTTTTGCATTAGTATTAATTTGATTTTTTATTTAAACATGTATCGTCTATAATCTTTATTAGATGATTAAGAATTCTAACTTTCAAACATGAAATAAATATGTTAAAAGATAAAAACTATGAAAAAGTATAAGAGATATTTAAAAATTAAATCAAAGTAATTTTTTTACGTACAAAATAAATTTTAAAATTATATATATAGAGTGTGTTTGGTATGAAGGAAATGTTTTCCAATTTTCTCAATGTTTGATTGGGACAAAAGTTTGGAAAATGTTTTCCAAATCAACTTATTTTCCTCAAAATTAAGGAAAATAAATCCCTTCAAAAATTAAGGAAAACATTTTTCCAAAACTCTCCTCCAATTTCAAATACAATTTTTTTTGGAAAAAACATCAATTTCAAAAAGATACTTTCAATTTCAAAATTTTATTTTTTCACCCGATCCCTGACCCCTTCCCCCACCCACCACAAGCCAGCCCCCCTAACCCCAATCCGAACCCCTCCTCAAAAAATTTATTTTGTTTTTTAAAAATATTCAAACTCCAAATTTTTATTTTAAACTCCATGGGAAAACATTTTCCACCATACCAAACACACCCATAATGTTGAGTTGGTTTGATTTCGGGTTATTTTTTAAAATTGAAACAAAACCAATCCAAATATAGTCGAATTTTTTTTTCAACACCAAACAAAGTCAAACCAAATCACTATTCGAATTTTTTTTTTCCAATTTGATTTGATATACGATTTGGTTCGATTTTCAATTTGATTTTATACACCCCTAATTATTAGTTTATGAGCTCTAAATTACACTATAAAATTTCTGCCAAATGGGGAGATTGAGAGATATAAAACAAGGGTGGCGGCAGGAGGATTCACACAAACTATAAAGATGGTGAATTCAAATCTTTCGTTAAGGATATTCAAGTATTGATATACGCACAAAAAATAATTTATAACATATATATTTTATTATAATTTTTTATATATCGCAATACAATTTTTTAACGAATAATGCTCAAATAACCATCAATGTATGTGGCTACGCTACTCAGGGGTGACTCTCACTTACAAAATTAAGGCAATATGCATGTCTTAGCCTCTTAGGCTTCTAATTTTTGGTCGATCTTAAATTTTTTTCAAGAATAAATTATGTGTTATTTTATAGGATAAATTCATTATTTGTGATAAAAAATATTTTTGAAAAAAATATGATATTGTTTTATTCTCCTCAATCCGTTTCAAATAGAAGAAATTAAAAAAATGTTATTTTTGCCTTCTTTCATTCTTTTCGCTAACACTCATATTATTTATCTTTATAAATAAACTCTTTTTGTACTTTCTTTCTTCAAATCTTTGATAAGCTAGAGTAATTACTTTTCAAAAATATGAATCAATAATCGAAAAGTGTTGAACAAAATAAATTTAATTTTTTTATTTCTTTTTAAATTTTCAAGCGTTATCCTAAACATATTAAGATAAGGAATACCAAGGCATCAATTTCTTGAATTCAACTATTATCTTTATTTAAAGTTTGTCAACTTTTACTTATTGAATTACGCCAACCATTTATATAATAATTGCCTCAGTAAAAAGATATTTTTCAAACTTTTGAATTGATAAATCTCACTTAAAAACTAATAATTAAAAAGGATGTTCAAAGAAATCATCATGTATAAAAGAAACATTAAGTACTAATTTGCATCTAAAAGATAGAAAAATAAATTATAAATAAGTACATTTAAAGTTTATTTTAATTTTAGTCCTCTAACTCAATTTTCGCTTTAAGCCTTCTATTACGTTGAGCTGCCTTTGACGCTACTGCAAAAGTCATTCTAAGTCTATTATTTAAACTTTTTAAATTCTTGAATATATTATTTATTGGAGGTAATTTATCATATTTGTTTAGCCACAATGTGCTAGCTACATCAATTTATAACACGAAAAGTACTCATAAATATTGCAAGATCTACTTTATAATAAGCCTTAGAGGTGCACCAAGTGTAGTAATAATTAATTACCCTGAGTTTTATTATATAAGTACATAAAAGGAACATCAAAGACATACATAATAGCTAACTAGTAATTAATTGATTTATATATTTAATTTACTTCAACTTATTCATGTAGTTACTTTTATATTATATATATTTTGAGAAAAAAAATTATCGAAAATTTTGCTTCCGCCATGATAATTTTTATATCCAAATAGCATTTGCCTTTAGAAGCAATTGTTTGAGCTTGCCTCTAACATTAAGACTCATAATCTCATTAGAACCACCAACGAACTCTTCTCCAATGAACACTGCTGGCACGCTAGTTGATTTACACCCTAGTAATTCAACCAATGCCTTCTCCATTTCACCATTCGAAACTAATTTATCGAGCTCATAAACCTTAGGGTTTGCTCCGAAACTTCGAATTAGGGTTTCAATACTGTGAGATATGCAACAAGTGCTCTTAGTGAAAATCACCACTGGACTCTCTGCTCCCAACTTCATCACCATATCCATTTTGAGACCTAACAAAAATTGTTTTTGGCTAAAATAACTTAAATTTTGTGATTGAAATTAAGAGAAATTGTGAAGGTTTAATTTGTAGAGAGAAAAAAGGTTATATCTATGTTAATTTTTTTGAGGCTTAACTTGCTATGAGAAAATTGAACTTTTAGAAAGTTATATAAGATTTAAAGTGGTGGGATTAATGTGAAACAATAACTATCTTGAATAAATACATTAACTAAGTACATGAGGTATTTATAATATGTAAATATGATTAAAAAGACTAAATTATCCTTCTAGCTATACATATAAATTTATCATAATGAATAGAAAAAAAGACTACACAATTCAAAAAGAACAAAAAGATTACACAATTTCAAAAGAACAATGCAAAGTTAGTGGATATATATGCAAATTATTCCTTGATCATTTGATGATTCACAAAGCCTTATTTCACTTGTTGCTTCAAGTCATAATATTTCCGTACGTACCAAGAGAAATAAAAAACTATTAAGAGTGTGTTTGGTACAATAGAAAATATCTTTCAGATCAAATATATCTTTTTCTAAAAAAATAAATTTCTTAAAAATGATATGTAAAATCTTACATTAATTAATTAATTAATTATTTTCTCTACAATTCAACGTAATCCCCCCCCCCCCCGCGTAGCCCCCCATCTCCACAACCTCCCCACACCCCCTAGTACTCCAAACCCTAATTTCATAGTGTTTAAATAGAATATACGCTATGTTTGTGAAATATCAATTTTTATTTACTTATCAAAAATTAAAAAATAAATAAGAAATTAAATTACTTATCTTGCTAGAAAATATTTTTAGCAAAAATTTTCATTTCTATCAAATACATCGTAAGAAACATTTTTTTTAATTTAATCATACCTGACTAATAAAAAAGATCAATAAATGTCACCTTCATAAACGGTCATATAAATATCATTTCATGTTGATTGTCTCCTCATTCCTTAATACTCCGATTACTCATCCCCATACCCCACCCACCCATCCCCCACATTGTCACCACATAATTTTATAATTATGTATGTGCGAAATAATTTTTTTGTTTATTTATTAAATAAAAGAAAATCACTTTTTTTAACAAAAATATATTTTTATAGAAAAACATTTCTCTCGTACCAAACATGCCCCAAGGAGAAATCTAGATAAATCTCCAAACTTTTATTTTGATGATAAATTTACTTTACTTTAGGTGGATATTAGAATAAATGCTTTTCAAATATTCCACACAGCAAATCACATAACTATGAAGGGAAAAAAAAGAGTACTACTACTAATTAGTGTGTGTACTTATCATCAAGCAAGAAGAGAAAATAGTCGGTTTGCTACTTCGAAAGGCCATATATGATCTCATCTAATTTTTTACTCCGTTCGTTTCAATTTGTTTGTCTTATTTTTTTTATAATCTATTTAAAAAATTATTTTTTATTTTTTGTTATAACTCTATTCTAATTTTTCATATGACATATCTAGAATTACAAAATTAATTAAAATATCGTATCAAGTTAAAATTAGACAAATTAATAGAAATAAAAGAAATATAAAATCTAGTCATTTTGCTCATCTGTATTTATATTGAATATCCAGAGCATTCATTTATGCTCCTAAAATTTCATTACATTAATTCTCTCGTCAGTCGTCGATGATTTATCAAAAATAATTTATTATTTTTAAAATTCTCAAATAATAGTAATATTTAAGTACACATTACCTCTGCAAAAGAGAAAAAAGATTTTATTTTTTTAAAAAAAAACAAGAAATACACAAATCAAAGTATAGAGAGAGCAAGTAGAAGTAGCCATATGTGTGTTTAATTGTGTGCACCAAAGGTACAACACACTTCTCTTTGTGTTCTAGATGAGTTGACGTGATCTTTTTAATTATAGACCAATCTTGTTATAATAGTAGTTTGGTTTTATTCGGAATTGATTTTCTATGTTATATTTTACTTCTATATAATAATATTTTACTTATAATAGTAATAACATTCGTTATAACGATATAAAATTACTCTTTTATAAAATTATAACAGTCGCACTCAAACATTATTTATATAAGAAATATATCATCAAATGGAACAAAATATTAAAGTATCTATGATAATCATTATTAATGTGTGTGTGGTATTTATGGAGGAGAATGTTCTCTTGAAAATAAGTGATTTTCTTAGTTATAATCAAAAGTCGAGTATAGAAATATATCATGTATCTAAATAAAATATTAAAATATTTATGATAATTATCGATTTTGATTTTTCATAACAAACCGTAAAAAAATTATTGTTGAGAGTGGGATTTGAACCCACGCCCTTTCGGACCAGAACCTTAATCTGGCGCCTTAGACCAACTCGGCCATCTCAACACATGTTACCCAAAATAGCAAATTACTTATTAATTTTATTAATAATCATCTCTACAAAATCATCTTAAATAGCTACTAATAAATTCAATTTATTTACTTGTTATTTTTCACTCATCATCTCACTTAAAAGGTCCTAGATCATATTTCATTCAGCACAATATATCCAATATGCAATAAAAATACTCGATGAAATAGTAAAATACATCCAAATTTATCCTGAACATTATCGTTATTAAAAAATAAAATGTAGGATAAAATTTTGGACAATACGCAACAATCATCAACACTTGATTTCTTTAACACACAATTATTGTTGATCATCTAAATGTGAGAAAAACAAGAATATTAATTTCCTATTTCTAACAACTTCAAAATGTGGGGAATGAGATCAACTTATATAAATATTGGTTCATTTATCATTACATAGAACACCAAAATCAATCACAAGAATCTTCAAGCTTTCACACAGCAATTGAAGCAACTGAAAATGCTTTTCCTTGTCTGCCAAAAAAGGAAAAAATAGAATTAAAAAATGATTGTAAAAAACAAAAAATAAATTTTCACCATGAAGAAGCAACAACTCAATTAAGTGAAAATATATATAGCATTAAGCACAGTGTTAAAATCCTACTATATGCTTATCTTCTTTTATCTTCTTTCGGTATAACTATTTGTCATTTGAAACTCACTTGTTCGATTAATGTATATTAGGGTATAACTATTTGTCATTTGAAACTCACTTGCTCGATTAATGTATATCATGAGGACACATTAGAACTAGAGGCAGATCTCCTTTATATAAGTTGTTCATCCTATACACTAATGGACTAATCCACCCTTCAACACACCTCATATTCACTCTCACCCCCGTAACACCCATCTCCCACCACCCCACTTCCCTAGTTCTAACCCTGATCTCCATCTCACGTAGTATTTATCTAGATTATAATACAAATATTTTTAAAATAAAATATTTTATTTACTTATATATCGAACATACACGAAAAAAAATTCCACTTATTCTTAATGATAAAAACATTTTCCTATCATACCAAACACATTTAAATGCTGATAGAACCACATTTTTTCATCACATAAGTCAGACACTACCTAACTTAAGTAATAGCAATATAATTGCATGTGCCTTGCTAAAATTACAACACTTGCTCAAACAATTTTTCTGGACAAGAAAAGTTACTTACCCAATAAGGCATTGCAAACATCACTTTCTTCCAACTTGTGTTGTATACAGATATCATGTGATATTGTACTTATGCAATGACCACATGATCAACATCATTTTGAGAGGAGACAATATAGTTTCACAAGTGGATCAGAATTCGTATAAAATGTACGATAAATTTTAGTCTTGTGACGAATTCAGAATTTTAACTAAAAAGGGGTCAACAAATTCATGATTATAGTGTTATACAACCTCTCATAATTAATGATTCTCAAAGGCATGTGTAAAAGAGAATCACAATAAATATTTTGTGACGGAGGAAATACTAATCTATGTTGCTTTGACACACACAAAATGTTGTTGCATTCGTGTCAATCCCTCCAAAGTCTACTACTTCTGAAGAATAACAAATATACATGATTCACTATAAAATAAACAACTTTTAGCAGCAATAAATATTGACAATAATAAAGAGTGCTAAAGTCTTTGTCGGCATTAGTTAAGTGTCGTTAGAATCAGTGTCGCTAAAGGCTTTAGGGACATGTACAAGAATGTTAATTGCCGCTAATAATCATAGTTGATGTAGTAATTATATTTTCGCAGAGTCCAAACAACATAGGTACCAATAACTATATGAACATTCAAATAAAAAAAAAGAGGCTACACAAGCCTAGGCAAAAAGAAGAATATATAAGTGAATTAATGTAACAAAATCTTACATGAGTTGTAGAGTGTTTATGATGGTAAGTTTGATCATTGTTTTGGGTTGAATGACTTGTATTATTCACATTATTATTACTTGTATTTGATATGGAATTGAAATCCTCCTCATTTCCAAGACTAGCTCTTGACTTGTTTTGTTTCCTATTCTCTCTTATTTTTGAGAAATCCACTGAGTAGTCTGGTAATGCTCCTTTTTGATCCCAATCCCCAAATTGTGGCACTGATAGCCATGGTGCTGCCCTCTGCTAAAATTTTGACAAAATGTATGATCAATCAATTGCATATCAACAAAATTATCGCTCGGATGGTAAGTATCCTCACAATAAAAAAAAAGATATTTTACTGATAATAGATTTTTCTTTTAGTAGTATTATTTGTTGCCACAAAACTAATTAGCTTTATTTGAGTTAATTGTCATTGCGTTCAGAGTCGCTAAAGCTTTCATTTTAGTAATATTTTTGTAGGGTACTGATTAGAAATACTCATATATATTATTACGTTAAATAAAAGATTTTATGTTAATTATTTAACATAGTAATAATTGTTTCATCGCGAATATTGAAATTGTGAATTCGAGTCACTCAAAAAAGTAAAAAGCCAAAAGCTCTTAAGAGGTAAAAAGAAAAAAAATAATTTACTGAATTCGTTTCAAAATATTTAATTTTTTTTTTTAAAAAAAAATTGAAATTCTTCAGAATATTATGTTTAAGATACCATATTTTTTCAGAAGGTCCAACTTAAGTAATCAAATTTATTACGCCAAAGTGATTAGAGCAAGTCATATATATTACTCCATTATTCTTTTAGCTTATCACATGACTAATAAATTTATTAATTACTAGAAAAATATTGACAAAAAAAATAATATGTGAATTGCATATGGTCCAGCTGGAACAGCTAGAACATATATATTTTTCCTTAAATTCTATTGACATTTGCATTTTCAAATTTTTGTGTTGATTTAGCTTTACAATTCAAAGCCAAATTTGACTAAACGTGAGCCACAAAAAACTTATTTTTTAAAAGAAAAAATTAGATAGAAGAAAAGAAATAGGAAATTATAGTCATGACACCCATAACTTTTTCAGACAACCCAAAAAAAAAAATTATTGCAATATTAAATAAGTAAACACACAAAAAAGTTATGTTTACCAATTTATATATATTAAAAAAATTAATTTTAATTATATATAAATAAAGTAATTTTTTTTGTCGAACCCTTTTAACCTTATCTAACTACATCTTGAAATATCAAAAAAAAAAATCTTGAATAATTAGAAATTACACGTACAATTATACTCTAGAAGATTTGAATTCGTAATATAAATTAAATTCTTGAATACTTAGGTAAAAGATAAGGGAAGAAAAAAAAAAAGGAAGTTGAAAGAAACCTAATTAAAGAATTAAAAGAGCTATAGATGGAGTTAGGAGGTACAAGAGGATCGATGAAAAATTATATTGATTTATATGAGCTTGGTATTTTCTTTTTGATGTATATATAAAATATATAAAGAAAAAATTGATTCACGCATGATGTTAATATATATCAGGATCATAAATATAAAGCTAGGTGTGTTTTTATATTACATAACTATGGTTAAGTAAATACCATTTCATATTAGTATTTACATTTTTGTTGTAAATAATTCAATTGGAGTAAACATTTCCATAGAGAAAGGTAGATTAGAAAAAGAAGAAATTTATCCAACTCTCAATATCTACCCAAAAAAACAGCAATAAAGTAGATGTAGGAAAAGAGTAAATAATATAAATATAACAAAAGATAGATTTATTAATTTACTTTTTACCTCTTTATGATCTTCCATTGCAAGCCAAATAATTAGAAAATATTGTGAAGTTTAATTTATATGGGAAAAAAAGGCAAAAAAAGAATTGATTAATATTGGTGTAGAGAAGTTGACAAAAGAAAAAAAAAAGGAGAAAGAGAAGGGGACTTTGGTGTGTTCTGTTGGTTATGAAGAAGAAGAATGAAATAAAAATGAAATGGAAGAAAATAAGTAGAGGGCCTTTGGTTATGTATAAATACTAACAAAAAGGGTGTATTTGGTATTTAAAAAAATTGCATAAAAAATATTTTTTAAAAAATAAGTGGATTTTTTTAATTAATTATTTTGTAGTTTATATATTAAAATTATCATTTCAAAAATATTTATGTATATTCTGAATAATTACTACGAGGGAGATATTCAAAATGTTGAATCAAGGAAGTTTAAATGAGAAAAATTAAATATATAAAAAGTTAGCTATATTTCTAGATGATTTTTTTAAAAATCAAAATCGAAATTAATTTTTCACTTGCATCTGAGGAAAAGAGTATATGTGAATGATTTTTGTAACGATACGAGCATATTTTGTAACATATATATATATATATATATATATATATATATATATATATA